TGTCCTGTGCCTAAATCCAGGAGTTTTTGGGTTATTAATGTTTTTCACAAAAATAGTTACACATTAATTAATTACGTGTTTATAAACAAGAGTAGGCCGTGATAATAAAAAACCAAAGAATGCCAGACAGTAAACAATTGGCATAAATGTATGAAGTCTTAAAGTATCTCGCACGATTAGGGCGATGTGCGCGGGTGCACCATCCTGTTGAAACCAACAGTTTCCACTTTTGTTATTTTGTGCATCGTATGTGTAATGTTACTTAATACAGTAGGTACTTTTTTTACGGGTCATATAGAAAAATAAAGTTGATGATTTCTCCGAAAAAGAACCTTGTATTGGAAATTTCTCAACGGTATTTTGTAGAATGTAGAGCTCAATGAGAAAGTGTTTTTTTTTTACTTTAACTGTTCAAATAATATCAGAAAAAATAAAAATGAAATCTGCAAATTTTTCTGTCATATCTTCGGAAGTAATCAGAATTTTCTGGATTTCTTTTAACTCTTTAATTGCGCTTATTTTCTTTAATTTCACCGTCCTCGAATCTTCTATGGTGTCGGAGATCTCCATGATACACATCGTTTTATCTTGGTCACAGTGTATATACGTCTGCTGGTGAATCTATTTTTTTCCAATAATGCCTTACAAGGCGTTACGATTCAAAATTTCGTGGTGTTAGGTGGCGGTAGTTGCAGGTAGTAATGTACAAGGTGTACCAACCAAATTTGTACTAGGTACGACAAAGAATTATAGTAGAGTACCATATAAATAACGAAAACTCGTTCTACATTATGGGTCGTTTAACCCATTCGTCTCATTTATAAATTTGTGGGGTGTCCATCCCTATCACAGGCTTAACGTTGCAAGAATTATTTTTGCATGGCCCCCTCGATCTAAAAATCGGCTCGTTTTTTTTATTTGTGTCAGAGCCTACGTTCAAATTAGTTCCCTCAACTACAGCTATCGTAATTTTTTTTGGATATTTCTAATTAGAAAGAAACGCAATATTTCAAGTAATGACCATCCTGTATAAAAAACTGTATTCCAACACATAATTAAACCGGGAATATCTATCGGTGATGCAGAAACAAGGGGTTGATCACGAGGGAAATTATTGTCCTTCATATAGGGAATTTCGAGGGAATAGCTGGGAAATATGTAGGAAATGGAGGAAATAATAGGAAATTCTGGGGAAATATTAGTAAATTTTGTGGAAATATGAAGCAATTCTAGAAAAATATTAGGATATTTTAAGGAAGTATGAGGAAATTCTGAGGGGGAAATCTAGAGGAAAATTTAAGGAAATAAATAATAAAATAAATACATAATAATATAATAAAATATAAGACGAAATTCTGGGGAAATATTAGTAAATTTTGGAGAAATATGAAGAAATTCTAGAGAAATATTGGGAAATTTTAAGGAAGTAAGAGGAAATTCTGAGGGGGAAATCTAGAGGAAATTTTAAGGAAATAAATAATAAAATAAATATATAATAATATAATAAAATATAAGGAAGTCACGTTAAGTCGGAGAAATTTTGTGTAACTTTGTAGAAATTTAAGGCAATGCTAGAAATGTTGGAAATATTAAGGGTGGCATGGAGGCAGTTTTTAGGCAATAAAGGAAATCTTTGTCCTTTAAAATAAGTAAGGGAAATTCTTGTGCCTCATAGGAAATTTCGAGGAAATATGTAGGCAATGGACGAAATTAGAGGAAATTCTGGGGAATATTAGGACATTTTGGGGAAATACGAAGAAATGCCGAAGAAAAATCTAGAGGAAATTCTATGGAAATTTTGAGAACATTTTGAGGAAATCTAGAGGAAATTAAGGGAAATGGTGGCAATTTTTAGGCAATGAAGGAAATCTCTTTCCCTAAAATAAGTCGTGACCAACCCTTCGTACAGAAAACTTTGAAAACATTCAATGATTATTTATTTTGTTGGGATTCCTACCTTACCATCCGAAATCTGTTGCAATACTAAAATACACTGAAGATATAACTTCAGGTTCTTTGTATTCATGGATGTTATCTCCATGACAACGTCTCGATGGGCAAATCTCACAAACTCTCCATTTTTTCTTGAATAGGAATACCTTTTCTCCGTCGGAATATCGGGAAACTGTTTTCACATTTTCGACTCCTTTTCCAAGAGACTTCAATTACACTTTTGACTTATTTGAAATAGTTGCAATCGCGCAATTAATAGTTATTTATTATACAAGACGATAATGGGATATTTTAACCATTTGAGTGAAAGATGTTAATTCACGAGTAGCATAGCGACGAGTGTATTATATCAAACAAGCCCAAGAAGTAAAAGTTATCTGTACTCGAATGTCGCATTAGATTACGTTTTTAACTGTTTCCTATATTGGACGGTTTTTAAGTTATTGCCCAAAGTTTGACTTTTACCAAGCGTTCCTTTTTTAATGACACTGAACTCACGCAATATAGTAAAACGCTAGTTATAATCGAGTTTTTCCCATATTACCCGGTTTTCGACTGCTTTTTCAAATTCATAGATATAGATGAAAGTAAAAAACCTAAAATTTAAAATTCTATTTCTTTTGTTTTTTGGACATTTTCAAAAACCCGTGAGATATTTTGCAGAAATCAATTGGGCCATTTTTCGAAATTGCCGTGTATAGCTATGTAAGATAGATCCACGTTTTTTTGGAAAATAGAGCAGAAAATCCAAGAACTGGTTCCCAATAGTGCGACAGGTAAGTTTTTCCAGTAGAGAGATAGAAATGGCGACACCCTGTACAAAATACTAATCTACGTATGCATAATATGCTATAGCCACTCGCTGTGGAACCGTTAACTATTAAAACAGGGTGTGTCAATTAAATGCCAAAAAAGGTTCTGATTAAAATATGCATTTTTTTTCTTGGAACTTGCGGCTTTACCTACGTTTTTTGGTATGTCCATTTAGTTTTTTTATTAATCTTTGCTTATGTGTATTTTTATTGATATGCTAAATTACGGTAATCGAGATCAAATAAATATTGTTATTATTATTATTAAAATGGTGGACCTCTGGTTCGAAAAAATCCGATCTCGACCAAACTTTAAAAAATTGCAGTATATACACCATGATACCAAATTTTGCAGATGTTTTCAACTTATGGAAGATATTTTTGCAAATTCAAAAAGAGCATACCAAAAAACTTATCTAAATCCGCTAATTCTATCCTATTAAGTATGTGTTTCCCCACTCGCTTCCGAAGGTGTCCAAGAATAGGCCAGCATACCTTTCGATATCTATTGGATCTGGACTTAATTGCAAGAACAAGGTCCATAGCTCCATACTTACCTATTTAACTTTTACAAAAATGTACTTCTTACAAATCTTAAACCTGAGAGCTTTCACTTCTTCTTACTGATTTTCTTGCTTGGTTTATTACGCTTTCAATTTGCTGCACGTGTTTTAGTTTTTGGGTCTGATCGCGTTATCAGAATGTGGAGTAAATTATGAACTATAAAAAATCAAAAAAAGAGCGAGTGGGATGAAAGTCAGACCCACAATGATAAGTATTGAAGGCGCCTATTTTTTATTAAAGGCCAATTCTGACTTAAAGAAAATGATACTGCTCCCCCCTACCCAAATAACATTTTTTATTTTGGACAAATAACTTTGAATTTCTATTAATCGTAACGGAAAGTTAAATCAACCCCATAACGAAATCGAGTCAAATTCCCACTCGAATTTTCGTTTACTTACCTCGCCTTTAGTAGGTACGTCTCTTAATTTGAATAAACGTCGGTTAGCTCGCAGTAGACATAATCGATTCCGAAGCACAAAATCGTGGAAACGGGTTGAATCAATTTCGGACCGGAAAAAGTTTGTTCATCGTTTAAAACGTATTTTGCATATTAATTATTTGAATAAGACCGAAGTCATGCGAAAGTAATCAATAAAAATGCACTCAGCTCGCGAATTGATTATCAGGTTCATATGCAAATTGGTAGGTATATTATATACGCGGTCACAAAAAGTAATTTAGTTAAGCGGTTGACAACACTAAAAGGCTATTACCTTTTTTTATGTCTGCAAGTGCTCTCTGTAAGGCTGAAATTATTTAAATTTGAAGTGCAAGGTTGAGATTAGTGTAATTTACGATTTAAAAAATTTAAATGCGATTGTTACGACCTTTAGAAGTACTTTTCAACTTCTATATTAATTTCCAGCGATAAATCAATATTAACCGTGCTTGAAACTTTGTTGCTGGCGGAAAACTTAGTCAGACGTGGAACTGTCACTTACGCCGTTATTATTCCGTTGCACAGGGGGTGGGGAAATTAAAAATGAAATCTGTATAATTTTAAAAAATCAATTTATTGTTGGCCATATAATAATATATTTATAAACAGCAACTACAATACAAAATGTACACACTATTATAATAATAACTGTAATATAGTTATATGAATATAATACAAAGGATTTACAAATATGTCGTTGGGGGATTATGGTACATCAAGGTATTATGCAAAAATATTGCTAACTTTATCTTTTAAATCGTCCGCCAGAATGAAAATAACACCAACAATGACAAACTGAATGCTATGATTGATGCGACATCTCGAGAACGAGCTGAATGGTTTGTGACAAAGAACGGATCAGCAAATCAAACCCTTCAACTCGATGCCGATCTCCAAATTTTCGTCGATATTTATTGCAATAATCAAAAACTGATCGAATAAACAGTACAATATAACAAAACAATATAATCTTTACATGAGCAAATTTTTTTACAGTTATGTACAAACCGAACGGACCGGACGCGGAGCCCAAAAATAGGACCGGCGTTGAACAGAAGTGTAGCAAAAGAAAAGTTTCCTTATTGACAATGAAAACATATATTATTACAATTCTACCTCTAAGTCAGTCAGCAACGCGTCCACCGAAATTAGCTCCACGCCCGTGCCGGGATAAACAAATATTGGGTACAAAAATACACCGAATATGTTAATCTACATTTCATACTGTACCAGGCCTCATAAAATTTTAAAATTCGAAAACTCTTAAATATACGGACAGTCCGATGTAATTCTAAAAACTTTAATATTATCATAAAGTTATACTCTAGTACATTGAAAGCACACTTAGGGACGCTGGTCGCGCCTCAATATCGTAATATAAGAATATCGATGTTGCTCGCTACTCTATAGTTATAAATTTCAAAAAACGTTTTATACGCTATTTTATTATTTAATAAGTTTGTGCATTGACTTTCAAAAACGTTCAACTCAATTAAGCGTATATTGTTAATTACTAAATTTTCCTCTTTCCTTTTTGATGTTATTGAAAAATTCGACAGTTTCCGGGAACAAAATATAACGATATATAAAAACTAAAAACAAGTATTTACATGTAACATAAACACGTGGATAACAAAATAACCGAATGCCCACAAATTTGTAGCAGCACAAACAATCCTAACCCTACTGGATATCTTAATCTCTTAATATCGATTCCCTACTCTAACGACCCACAGTGCTTAAACTTTACAGCTGAAGAGACTTAGATACGATGCATAATTTAAGTACTTTTTTTTGGATTTTTCTCTGGACGAACGAAATATATATGAGTAACATATTTAATAAAAACTTATCATACGATGAATTTTAAGGTTATGAATGTGAGACGAAGCGTCCGCGTTTGGCAGTAAATCTGAGACAATCGTAATGCACCGGTCGGCTGACTCGAGCGGTGCCCTTTTCGTGTGCCCAAACTTATTTGTAAGCAGAAAACCGTCAGACTACGGGCTTCACAACTTAAATTGGTCATCAAAAAAGATGAATCACAGCCTGATTTTGTGTCCCTTCCTAGTTTGTGGGAGGGGTGTAGATGTGTCAAAAGTAAGGACCGCGCGACTAAGGTCCGACATACTGAACTAGGCACTAACAACTGGTTGAATCCGGGAATTATACAATAATACGTATGGTGACTGACAAATGAGACTGCGCTACCATGATAAATACAAAAAAAAAACGCAAAATGAGATCATCATAAGGGGTTAATTAATGACGTTGGGTACAGCCATGACGTAGGCGAACCATGTTCAACAGTTGAACAGTAAACAAATCAACAAACGCGCGCGCCATGACTGCACTGGACTGCACTTAGTGCGGTATACGTGATAACACACGCGAATCAAAATCGACGACAGTCTTTTAAATCTCCCTTCAACAATTCGTAAACAAAGTTTGGTCGGGCCAAACGCTCGTTAACATCATCGTAACGTCGGGCGGACACGAGAAGTCCAAATGTGAACCGGAACTGTTTGACGCCGTTTCAAAAGTGTCGATGTCATCGAGTACATCTAAATTAAACTCACCCTCCACTTGCAAGAGATCGGTAATTGTATCTAAGTCTGCTAAAGTTGCATCTTGAACGTGCATCTTCTCGTCGGGCTCTTCTTTTATATTGTAACCTTGTAACGAACATACTCGACTGACGTCCGTGTCCATTCCAAGTAGGGAGTCGTCGTACAACGTCGCACTTTCAGGGGAGTCGGGAGTGTCGCAGGTCGGACTGGATGGAACTTTAGCGTGGGTGGCGAGGAAGCTAACGGGAGGAAGGGTTGTCGTTATTGTGGCGGGTTTGACTATTGGTTGCCTACCCAAACCTAGTCTGTCTTTTAATTTCGATGCTATGTCTGACGTGCTACCGCGCCTCAATGGAATATACTTCTTTTCAGTCAAAGAATTATTGTTATTGCTGTCATTCCTGTGTAATTTTGAGGAATTCTTTTTGGATTTTTTCGACGAGGACGCCCCCTTGGGTGCGGGTTTCGCGGTTTTCTTCCTAGGTCGGTACTTGTAATCTGGGTACTCTTTCTGGTGCAGCTGGCGTAGTCTCTCCGCCTCTTCGATGAAAGGCTGGCGATCTTCGTCGTTCAGCTGCTTCCAACGGCGTCCTAATCTCTTCGAAATTTCCGCATTGTGCATATCGGGTTGTAATTCGCAAATTTTTCTACGTTCAATCTGGGACCATACCATAAACGCGTTCATTGGCCTCTTTATGTGATTGGGATTATTCTTCTTAGTCTGTAACAATGGAAAACATTAATTAGCGAGCTTACAGCTTGACCACGTACGTAGGTATAAAAAAAGGGAGGTTAAATACGAAGGGAAATAAAAGATTAACGAATTCCATTATCGTGATATCGCAGGCTGTTCCAAAAACACCAAGAGCTTCCATATAAAAGCCGTGCCAACCACTCTGCCTAATTAAACAAAGCGTAAAACTTTTATTTCTCACTAGTTGTATTCTGCCCCGAATCGAAATTTCCTTTAAATACATTCTCCCACACGCAAGTTTATTCCTCTGTATCGAGTTTGTATAAACGCAAAGTGCGTGATGACTGAGAATTTTGGTCGTAACATTCGAGTAAATACGCGTGTCTAAATAAATGACGTTTAAATGATACGTTTTGAAGTAGCAAAGGTGATAAAAATAAACAGCGCTTGTCAATACATTTCCAGTGTAAGGCTCGCCCATTCGATCGAAAAAAAAACTTTATTTCGTACGTAAAAAGGGTCATTCCGAGGACCACAAAAAATTAATGGAAAATTCTATGACAAATTGGCACCTTCTGCCAACGCGACAGAAAGCACTCCAGAGAAATGCATTTCACCTATAAAAACGTCTCTAAGTATCTCTCGTTTGCTTTAATGGAGCCCAAGTATGCATACCATTAATTATTCTAATGTTGGGGGGGAAAAAACCAAGTATTGATTGATGACGGCGGGGGAACAATCGTGATCCGGTAATGCCTCGAAAGACAATTCTTAATTTTCCTGGGAGAAATTCGTGTTTTCGAATTATATGCTCATGTAGATATCGTAACGAATTTATAGCTCGAGTCACGAACGCCTTCACGTTTGACGTAATTTCAAATTTATAATGGAGATTCGGCCTGATTAAGTTATTACATGAGCTTTACTATATTTTTATGGCTTGTCGAGTTATATTAAATTCCGGATTTAATTTGGAGTATGAATCGATATTCAATGATTCAAATGTTTTTTTGAAGGGGGAAAAGCGAACGTAATGGAGGTAAAACATGCAAGAATCACTTATTTGGATAAATTTATTATAATTGGTACCTTTTTGATTATTAATTTGGGGAGCAGTTCATGAAATACCATTCTCCAGTCATTTTTTTTCGAAAACGTTCAATTCTTGTTTTAAATAGTGTAGCGGAGAGATGTGTGAATTGGAAATGGAAGGCCAATCCGGACTAACTCCATTAAAACGGACTCGAAACAAAATCCTGCATCGTGGATTGAAATTTCATTGTTTATGTCAAACAAAGCTTTAAAAGCTTTTATATGAAACCGTTGTTTAACACAATAAAGTCGTTCGCAACTTGCAGTTTTTCAAACAGAGGCATTAGTGAAAAAGAGCTTTCCTGAAAATTTCGGTGCCACGCAGGCTTACAAATTTAATCAATTACGTGTGGTTTTTTTTTACAATAACTGCTCCCTCTCCTCATTAGCTCGAGAAAATACGGGAAAAGATACAAGGTCTCGGGCTTTTTCCAATTGGAAATAAAGCTTCGTTTTAAATAATCAATTTACATCAAGTGCATCCGCATAAAAATGAACTCCGTTTATTTTCGAAAACGTCATTGAAAATGTGTAGAGAATTGGCAAAACGCTACTATCAAAACGACGTTCAGTATCCCCCAAGAAAATATGTTTAAAAAAATGTATTTATTATTTACACTTTACACGTGCGCGTGGAAAGGTCGCGCGTGTGGCGGATGTCAATCGGTTGATCTTCATCGTCATGACAGAAAAGTTAGACGTGATACGAAAGGAAGCTATTTTCAGTTGTTTAGGATGCGACGACTTTGATTATTTGCTATTCATGCTTTGAGCTTTGAGACCATAGGATAAAAGACCTTGTTAACAAAAAAGAAACTTCCTCCCTCAAATATAACCGCATTTGGCAGTCCTGTCGATATATTTCGTGTTTATTTTTTAAAATATCCCTCGGCCTCGTTTCAAATTTTAGAAGTTTGTAGTAGCGAATTTGTATTCGGGGACCCAGAAAAAATCACTACAAGGTGTAAAGATCCATCATCTTTGTACATAAACGACTCATCCGTGATTAAAGCATGCACTAAGTCCACAAAATCCGCGCGTTAAAGGGAAAATCTATAATGAGCGTATAAGGGCATCTGATGAAAATCCCACAAATTTTCAAAACCTTTCCAATTTTTCCCAAGCTTCTTATACATTACCAAACTTTATTCTACTGTAAAACTCGAAGTGTTTTTCCTATCTACTGCTAATATTAATCATTTTTTTTTACTTTTAGCGATTTTATTGCTAATAACTTGTAATAATTAACAGGTTTTTCTATCAATTTTCATAATTACTTATCCGGCGGAGATTAATGATCTATGTTGGCATAGAGATTGTTTTTATCATTTTAATTCAGTTAGCTTATTTTCCGGAATGGTTAAATACGAGGTTAAATAAGATCTACTTTGCTTCACAAAAACATGAGGATTATATGTATACATTTTATGAACGTTATTTAAGGGTTGATATGGGATTGAAAGGCTCGATATATTCGTTGTCCAAATATCCCCAAATTGAACTTGTTCGTACGAAAACGACGAAGTTTGGCAATTATTTCACAAAATGCTGCCTAAATCGATTGTCTGGACAGTATTTAAGGGTTGATATTCGTGTTGAATATTTTCAAGCGAGTTATTCGCGTTTCTAAGATCGAATATTCGCATACCGGAATTTTTTAGTACTCTACCACACCATTTCCGAAATTACCTAATCGACCAAACCCCGATTTTACAAGGTCGCAGAGACAAAATGATTTCTGCAGAAGGGTTGAGCAATTGGATGCAAAAAAACGTCGACGCCACCCATTCGTAAATAGCAAACGCGTTATCCTTCTACTTCTGTATAACTTTGCATATTAAAAAAATTGAGTAAACCTACAAAATAACCTAATGCCCAACTCTCAAAATTCTTAAAAGATTCTCAAAAGCTCCCGAATATTCTCAAAAGTTCCAGAAATGCGCAACGTTAAATAAATTACAGGAATTTTACAATATTATGTGTAAGGTGCCAGATTTAATATACTGTGCGATTGAAAAAGAGTTGCTGGGAAATCATATTCAAACTTGAACTTCCTAAGGCGACTGCCAGATTTGATATACAGTGAGCGGCTAAAATATGGAACTAATTAATTTAAAAATCAAATGTTGGGTTTAAAAAAATGCTCGCTCACTCTTAACATAATTTTCTCTTTCGCATTTTTTGCACTATAGAGAAAATCACAGGGTGCGATTTTTACCAAAGTTAATTTTTTTAATGGAACAGTATTTCTTAAAAGTCCATTTTCGAGTTCTGTGTTTTACGGATAATTCGAAAATGTTTAAAAAATACTTTGGCATCAAAGCCTGCCTTTTGGCGCACCCTATATATTTTCTCTTTAATATAAAAAGTGCAAGAAAAAATTATGATAGACGTGTGCGAGCATTTTTTTAAAAACCTAACACCTGATTTTTAAATGAACTTGTTCCATATTTTAGCCTCTCACTGTATGTATACATTTAGTGCCCAAACACCTTTGAATTGAACTTACCTGTGTAATGTTATTGAGGTTATTTAAGAGTTGATATGTGCAGATTTATTATTAATTGCAAGATTGGGTATATCTAGTGCCCAAACACCCCTCAATTGGGGTTGTCTTTCACTTCGTACATTCAAGGAAAACGGCTAAGTTTGAAAATGATACCCACAAAAATGAAGTGCATATTTTATGGACCTTACTTAAGTGTTTATATGTGTTGATTCAAATGCAAGATTTGATGGTTGTCCACTAGGAAGCGACCGATCTGGCGTTTTAGGCCGATACCGATTTCAATTTCGTTTAAAATGCGAGAAATGTCAAATGTTTTCCACATTTATTATTTCACGACCGGAAATCGCATCAAAATAATTTCAACAGAATTGGAAAATTCGAATCCGTTCGCGAGTTATTATGTACAGAGGCGGACTGACAGAAAAATCATGAACAACCTAGGCCGTCAGTTAAGCCGTTAACCAACACCTCGCTTTGTATACCTAGAAAACGATTAATTTTGCAAATTATTTTTAAAAAAATGAAGCTTAAGTGTATCTTTTATGGACGGTTTATGTGTAGACTTCAACTCAATTGCGAGATTCAATAAGAATAATAGTGCCAAAACACGCTTAATTGGACCGTATTACCTGTGTTAAATGACGTTATTTAAGGGTTGATATGATTAGATCTAATATCAATTTTTTTACTTGTGCACTGCTATTGCTAACTTCACATGAAATAGCCATGCTGACCGGTTATTGCTAACTTCACACAGAAATCGAATACTTGTTTCGCATGTTTTTTTAGTACTTGTCGTATTCAAAACCTAAAGACCTAAAACGTATCGCATATTTTTAGTTTTAATCGAGTTTATGTCGAGGTTTATGTGTTCTGGATCCATAAGTCGCTGGTTCAGATCCGGCTCGAAGGACCAATGGTTCAAAAACGACTTTTACTTTTATGCAATTTTACAATCGCACAATACAAAATAAAATTAAAGTTTACAATTCATGAATTTCTTAAAGAGTTCACGGGATTCTTAAAAAGTTCATGAAATTATTTTGGAATTCACGGATTTCTATTGAAAATCATGGAATTATTTTGAAATCATGGATTTATTTTGAAATGGATGGAATTACTTTGGAATACATGGGTTTATTTTGGAATTCATGGATTTCTTTTGGAAGTCATGGATTTATTTTGAAATTCCGGGATTTCTTTTTGAATTCATGGCATTATTTTGGAACGCATGGATTTATTTTGGAATTCATGGATTTATTTTGGAAAGCATGGATTTATTTTGAAACTCCGGGATTTATTTTGGAATTCATGGATTTATTTTGGAATGCATGGCATTATTTTGGACTCGATTTTGGAACGCATGGATTTATTTTGGAATTCATGGATTTCTTAAAAAGTTCATGCGATTCTTAAAAAGTTCATG